CGCCTTACTGTCATCCAAGGACACCTTGGGTGACAAGGTCTGCGTTACAAAGTATTTGCCTTTTTCTTGTATATCATGCACAGAGCTAGAAGGACGGGGCCAGAGCTCACGATGGGCAGGCCTGACATGGGTCTAAGTTTCTTTGTCGGACTCTGAGTCGTCCTGCTCGATGTTGATGGGATGGCCTCACTTCTTGAGCGGTCTTCCGTACCCCCACCCCCCCTCTCTCTCACGCTCAAGACGTCTTTTCACTTTTGCAATTCCACTCTGGCATGTGGGATGGAAAGCAACGTTTTTGGGGACTGCTTTCAAACTCCAAATCCTGGCAATGTTTGTCGTTTTCACCTACGTATCGACACTAACTCCTCAACCCGAGCCACCGTTGTAGACTCTTCTTGTACGTATTCCACCGTGCTTCACAGAGGCTATGTGCATATAGCATTGTTTATGTCCTGAAAAGTTCGTTTTTTTTACTCGGTTTTGGTGAGTTTCCTCTTTTTCGGCACTGCTAGATGACCAAAGTCTTATTGCGCCCTGAAGACGCTAGTTCTGTATAAAATGCCACGTTATAAAAAATGGGCAGGATTTTTTGCGACTAATTTTTACTTTACTAGCCACAAACATAACTCTTCTTCTTTTTTTATGAACTAAAGATTGTGTAGTTCCCAGATGTCGGCGCGGAATTCAGTTTAGATAGATGTATTAGTATATGTAAATATAAGTAGATTGGATTAATTGTTTAGTGGGTTAGTAGTGGGTTAGTTAGCAAATAGTTGTAATAGCAGTAGTAGTAGTAAAGAGTTAATAGATGATTATTGTTGATGGTTATTGATATTTATAAATATGTATACATACACAAATGTACAGTATATATACACATAAAAATACACATATATATTATATATACACATACATATATATACATATATATACCCACATATGCATGTGGGTGAGTATATACACACATATATACAAGAGTCTGTGTATAGTATAGAATATTATGTCAAATAGAAATATAATAATATTAAATGGAAAACAATATAGTGATTATTGCTGTATCTCGAAGCAAGATCTCAAAATACTTGTATCTTGAGGTGCACAAATCTCGAGGTTCCACTGTATGTGGGTATATATGTACAATTCGTGGTAAGAGAGTTTATACTTCCATGACTCACCAGTCACCTGTTCCAAACAATGACATGCTGGTAAGGTTTGTGCTAAATTTGAACCGTTATCACACAATACTCAGTTGAGAATAGAAATTTGCTCTTTGGAAGGTAGAGGCTTTATTTCTTTACTGCTGAAAGATGTGAATGTAGACCATCCTGAGTACCAATGTTGACAGTGATGTTGGTATACAAAGGCATGTATTGCTGTGTGATGAGTTCATATTCAACCGTGTTCATTCCATCTAACCTCCAGGTCTGTCTTGCTTTGCTCAGCATCTCAAACCTTTAAATATAAATCAGGGAAATCATAACAATCCAAGTTACATTCCATCTCATCCTTAGTTGACATTTTTTTTCCCCACGTTAAATACATTTCAACATATTACCAACCCTTACCTATTTTGGTTTATAGCATTTCCTTGGTCCAACGTATGTCTTATCATCTTGTAACGTCCCACCTGCAGTTTTGGGCGAACAACTTTCATTCCCGTTAAAAGCACCCTTAAAAACAAGGAACACATATATCTTTGTAAAAGTAGTAGTTTACACAATCTCAATATTATATATAGTCTTATTGTTGCTTGCTTATCATAAATATATTTACATTGAAAAGAATCCACATCTTTATGATTTGTGCTCTAATAATCCATCAGTTAACACCTTGTGCTTTTTTACTTGATGCAAAAATGCTTATGAAACACAAGTTGGCTGTCAGTTACGAGAGAGTATAATATTCTGGCTCAAACTAGATGCAAGGGATTACGTTCAGAAGACCCTGTCGTAAGGCGATTTCGTGGTTAAACAAAACCTCGGACGGACAAAATTTGCCATTTCTTTTACTTTGTTTTGTCCTTAACCGTGGTTGAGGATGTCGAACGGGAGAAGCCATAACTGTTAGCAATCACTTGGACCTCCCTCATAATCTTCATTATTTTCATTTTTATTTCTAGATTGATGGCTTTCCGTTGCTTCTTTATAACAGATCCAGCAGAATAAGTTGTAGTCTTCATTTGTAGTTTTCCAGACATTGTGAGGGAAAGCTGATTGTCCTCATTAAACAAAAAGGTCGTTTAGTGAGGACAAGCTGCAATAGTAATCTGGGCCAAGCTAGATGCAAGGAACTAATCATAAAGGTAAAAGGCTTTGAGTGTTGCTGGGTAGATATACTGTTCAAGTTGGAAATAGACTGCTGATTAGGGTTATGACAAAAGGGATGAGAATTACTTGGACCATTACCATAAGAATATGTCACCTAAGGGAAATAGACGATTGCAAAGAGGTAACAGAACGCAGGGTGGCAAAGAAGCTGAGAGTAACATTATGTAAAAAAAGAAGAAGGCATTTGCGCAGGTTTCATTCAAGAGTTTAGACATGCCCTTGTAAGGACTGAGAGATCGCTGGTGTATTGAAGCAAATGGGTAGGAAGGTAGTCGCCGTTCCATTAGGTCAGAAAACATGAAGGAAACGGTGGTGGATTGAAGCGGTAGAGGCAGGCATGAGCTGAAAAATTGTGTGAAAGGTGGGAGTTGGAAAGAAAAAGAAGAATTTGTACTGGTTGGATAAAGAGCGACAGATGTGGAAAAAACTTAAATTTAGATTGGAATGGGAGTGTGATAAGAGAGAACAATGAGTACGTTCAAGAATTAAACACTGAGGATAACTTAATAATAAATATATAAATATAATAGAAAAATATTGTAAAGAAAAGAAGTAAGGGCAGCTTGAAAGCAAATAAGTAAATGGTAATAACATGTATATACAGCACCAAGACATTTACTCAGTGTACGCAGAAGGAAGAGCCTGACAGCTCAAGGGCGGAATGAGTTCCTGCGGCACTTTGTGGTGCATTTGTTGGAACATGTCTATTGATGAATGTGATCCCGTGTCTGTGTCTCTCTGACCCCACTATCCAAATAATTGTAGTCTTCTACAATGTCCACACTGACCTCCGGGATAGAAATTGGTGTCATAGGTTCCAGTTCCTGGTCTTTGTATGATGGCGCTGCAGGTGGTTTTCACCCACAGAATATGACAAAGTTGTTCACAACTGTCCAATACTGAGACATCTAACTATTGCAGACTCATCAGATGAACCTCTAAATAGAGCAGGTCTGAATAGAGCAGGTCCGTGCAGTAGCTCACGTTAGTAGTTGGCTGGATTTTGGTTCCAGGGGAAATCCGGATAGATTTCATTTTACATTGTTTTTTATGTAGTTGAATAACTAAATGTAGGATGTTCTTTGACATAGACATAGAACGCATTTACAAGCGCCAATAAGACTTAAAATTGGAATTTAACTTTGGTTCTTGATAGACTCTTACCTGAATGCAATATCATCATCCTCCCCTCCCCAACCCCAATAGTTGTTGGGAAAACCATTCATTTTGAGGTAGTGCAATGGTGTCAAAGCTATTACTCCTCCGAAATACATACTGTATGGAAGTCTGTAATCACAAAAATTACACAAGTTAAGAAATGATGATGGAATATGTTTGCAGAGAGAACTATTCATTTACAGGCAGGTTAATACATTTACCCATAGCCAAACTTGTCCATGGCAATGGCTGCATGCTTAGGATTTGAGTCACAGGTGTATGAGTTTCGGTCATCTTCTGGAATAAGGTCCACATCGTGGAAGATGAGACAGTCCCAGTCTTCCTTCTTCATGGCCTCCCGAAAACCCACATTCATCAACTTCGCTCTGTTAAATGTGTGGTTTCCAGCCTGTAGGTGTAAAATAGACACATGTTCAAATAAAGATCTAATGTAGTGCAGGATACCTGTCATTTTCTGTGCACAACACACATGGCAATATAACATAGTCATCGACGGTGACCTAGGTTTCAGATAGAGACTCTGTCCTCATCATTTCATAGTTGTTCGCTTGGTGTTGCTGCTTCCAGTCGCATATACATGAGCTTTTTAGCCAATCATATTTCAGCCATCATGGGTTGCTAGGAAATGAAATGACTCGGCCTTATCTATCTATCTATCTATCTATCTATCTATCTATCTATCTATCTATCTATCTATCCATCCATCTATCTATCCATCCATCTATCTATCCATCCATCTATCTATCCATCCATCTATCTATCCATCCATCTATCTATCCATCCATCTATC